ATGCGATAAGAGGTTCGGAACATTGGAGAATTTGCGGGTGCACTGCAGAATTCATACTGGTGAGAAACCGTTCAAATGCGACCACTGCAATTCGAGCTTCGGCCAGAAACAGAACTTGCACACACACATGCGAACTCATACTGGTGAGAAGCCGTTCAAATGCGGTCACTGCAATTCGAGCTTTGGGTGGAAAAAATGCTTGCAGATACACGTGCGAACTCATACTGGTGAGAAGCCGTTCAAGTGTGGCAACTGCAGTTCGAGCTTCGGGCAGAACACACACTTGAAAAGACACATGCGAATTCATATTGGTGAAAAGCCGTTCAAATGCGGTCACTGCAATTCGAGCTTTGGGCGGAAAGAATGCTTGCAAAGGCACATGCTAATTCATAATGGTGAGAAGTCGTTCAAATGTGGTCACTGCAGCTTGAGCTTCGGCCAGAAAACAAACTTGCAAACGCACATGCGAATTCATACTGGTGAGAAGCCGTTCAAGTGCGGTCACTGCAATTTGAGCTTCGGCCTGAAACAAAAATTGCGAACACACATGCGAATTCACACTGGTGAGAACAATCCTGACAGAACCGTTCGCTAATGCACAACGTCTACCGTTTGTCAACGAAGTCAGCAACTTCCTCCACCGGTCGAGAAAATGTGAACAAATTTTGATGTATAAGGAACGCTTATATTTAGGGCTTTGTATCGTTTTATAATAACTGGCGCGAATGAATATATAGAATGCACATAGTCGAATCTCCTATTCCCCTGCTCATTTTGAGTACATAGCGAAATCCTCCTCCTTATACGGACCAGTTTTTCATTAGTTCTGCTGCGTTTTTCCCGAAAACGAATTCTTGTGCATTTCCAAAGATGCAGTGTTTTTGCTTTTCAGCCCTATCCTTCTTGGCGGTCTGAAAGATTTGTGCATTATATGCTGGATTTGATGTGCTTTACCGAGATGGTCCTAAATATCAGAAGCATAATCTTATTTTTCGAGTATAATCTTAAGTGCGAGTTCTTTGCTGTCCCTCATCAAATATCAACTGTCAGGCATTGGAGTTGCCGACATACAACCGCGCCTTTTGGCCTGGTCTCATCAAACAGTCAGATGATTAACAATATCAGTCGCGTTGCTTTAATGTTTGATCATACATACATCCATGCGCACGCACACACAGGGTTTTTGCCGACTATTGGGGAGCAACAGCGCTGCCACCAAAAAATGCGCAAGAAACCTGCACCGAAATCTGTTTTTCCAGCTAGGGGTTGAAATGCAGACTGCTTCTCCATCTTGCAGTTCCTATGTACACCACTTCAACATTCTTTTAGGTAAAAGCTTTCACTATATTTCCAACTCTTGCTCACTTCGTCCGGATGCGTTTTCTTCCTCTCTGCTTCAATGCGCATACTAGCATTTTCACATCTCATTTTACCATACCATGATTTATATGGCAGTTGTTTTCTCTGAATGTTGCTTAGAAGGAAGCTGAAAGTGGGTTTGACTCTGCGTTATGCGCAAGTACCTATCTGCGGTCGAAATGAATGAATGTACCTTAGAGAGACTGGGCGTCGTAATGATTGAATGAAACCTTTGATTTTCAGAACGGGAGATGCTTGCATGTATTTATAGGTAAGAAAAGGAAAATATGGGAGGGAAGTAGAATTGCTACAATACTTTCCCCGGAAGAATGAAATAGGGGCGCAGAGAGGCGGGTTCCAGGGCCGTCAGATAGTACTTTTGTTACAGTGACCATTAAGGAATTATTAGCTGCTTTGGAATAAAGTTATTTTGGGCGAAATGACGGCCAACTGAAGTACGTGTCATTCTGGATATTTCCTCGGATTACGCGTCCCGGTTTAGGTACAACAGACCCGATACATATCTAACTTCTGGGCTTGGTGTGTGGGAGCATTCCAGTGACAACAGCAACATCGAATGTGGTGCATCGACTGTCCGGACGATTTCAGTATCCTGGTATTATAGGCAAACACGGTGTTTATCGAAAATTTAATAAAATATTCTTCGTAGCAGGGGAAGGAATGAGGAAGAGTGGTGATGGCGATGGCTCACAAAAATATATGTACATGCAAAAAAAAAAACCCCAATACCCAGTCTTCGAAGTTCTGGAAGTTAAATGTGCAAAAATGTAGTACTTGGACAGGAAACATTCTGTTAAAATTTCAGCTTTCCAACTTCTCTGGTTCTCGAGTTAGGAATTTTCCCACCAAAAACTTTCACGGCGTCGTACGTGAGAACCGCACGCACGCAGGGATGAATTTGAAATTTTTAAATTGTACTTAGTCTGAGAAAATCCCTTTAAAATTTCAACCTCCCATCTTATGTGATTCTCAAGTTAGCGATTCTTCCGCCAAATCTTTCACGTGCTCGTACGCGAGGCCCGGATGTCTGTAAAGGCTGGCACCATGGTCTTGAGATGGCACTCGACCGGGGAAACACTGCCAAAATTTCGGCGCCAAAGCTTGCTTGGTTGCCGAGTTGAAATACCCGGGCAGGCATACACAGACACGCGCACACCATGGGTCGTCACAATATGCTCCTTTTATTGGAAATAATGCGCTGGAAAACAATGAACTCTTTTTGAGTCGCTTAAACCCATCAAAAGGTTCTGGCGTGCCAGTGCAGTTCCTAGACTTAGTTTTCAGAGTGAGAAATCCAGTCCTTTCATGAATTGTTTTGGCGGAAGGTTAGTTAAGGCGCGCGCTAGGCAATACGTTATTTGGAGGCTTATCGTAGTTCTAAAAAAAAGAAAACGTCGACGGCCAAACCAGTGACTTGGTTGCTGTTGGCAAAATGACTCTAATCGCTCTGGCTCGCTCCTAAAAGATCCGCATTTCTCAAATAGAGTGTTGAGGTGGCATCTTCCATTGGGCGATTTTCCTCATTTTTCTCCTATATTAAATGAGCTCCGCTTTAGGCAGCATGCAAAAAAATCGGAGTCCCAACCTACTTTCTAATATTCAGAGACATTTATTTCGAAAAATGTTGACCTTTCTCGAAAGTACAACAGACGTGCCGGCCGTTTACAAAAGAATATTATTGGGTTGGTACTCTTTTCAAGAGACAAAACGAAGGTCAGATTCGCTAACAAACTGACCAGCAAGCAATGTAGCATTGGTTGCAACAGTTGGTTAAATTGGCAGCTGTGCGGTTGAAAAACAGAGCAAATCAAAACTAATTCATGTATCTCAAATGTCTCTTTATTATTCATATTTTGTACAAACATATAACAATAAATATTTTCATTCACAACAACTATTCATCTACCACACATTCGTGTGCCCGTTTTATGCAGAAATTTGCAAGAAATTGCTGGCTGGAACTAAATCCGAAAACGTCAAAGTAATAAAAAACGTGGAACACGTATATTACACCCGAATGTATAAAAGCACAAACAGTGAATAGATCCAACTTAATATTAGGTTTGGATTAATAAGGGCAGATAAAGTGATAAGTATCATACAAATAGCTTTACGCCCTGAAAAGTCATTATGCTTTTTATGACGATTTATTGGAGAAAAAACTAGATCGACGTGCTAAAGTATGAAAAACGCAGACGCATAGCCATCTAACATGGTTTTGATTCACACTTCCAAAAAAACAAAGTATCCTCAAAATTAGCTTGAATTTGATCTATGAAGATGGAGACGATAGAAAACTAAGGTCTTTTTTTCTAAACCAAAAATTGCAGTGCAAGATCTTCTCATAAATTAAGCGAAAAAGAATTGCTCTTGGCTGGCTTGTTTTTTCTAAAGCAAATAGCACATATTTTAATTTAAGCAGTAGAACAGAGTCCACAAAAATTTTAAAAACTGGTTTCAGGCAATTTTGTCACCACTGTGCGGTAAAATAAGATGGAAAAATTTTCACTTTTTTCTTTTTTCCCCTGTCGCAAAATATCAACTTCTCGACCGTTAAGCCAGGAGAAAAGGAGAAGAAGAAATGGACTTGATCTGCGCTTGCGCCTAAATAACATTCGGACCTTCGCTTCTTTTATTACGCCAATCCTTGCGTCATTGGTAGTGACGATGTAGTAAAATTTTGCGACACCTCCCCCCGTTCATTTTCCCAGAATTCCTCTGGATCTTTGAGACCCTGGAAATAATCCACAAAATATGACCGATAGTTAATATTTTTATAACAATTTACAACATGATACATAAACTCCATGCACTTCAAATACTGTTTTCTTTTCAGATCTTTTAATACAAATTTACCGTTACAGAAATGGATACATGGTTGGCCAAGTCTCGTGCGTAAGATCATATTCTTCACACAACACCGCTGCACCAATTTGCCTCTTTCCTCTTCTTCCGGCCAATTTGAAAGGCTACTGCCACTGCCGTTCCGCGATAGCAACTCAATGTTTGATTCTGGTTGTTCAAAATCTTCATTGTCTTGACTGTACAATGTAGTACTAGATGCGCGCATGGCGAGCGTGAAATTTTCAGGTGTTTCTTCAAGAATTTCACCATCAGCATTTTGAATACGGCAGTTGAAGTACGCAGAGATGGAGAATGATGACTCCGTACAAATTTCACTCGAGTTTAACAAATGGTATATCTGAAACTAATATACTTTTCAGTGTTTCAAGTTCAACTAGATAGATGTGGTTTCATTAAAAGTAATAGAAATGATAGTAAGACAACGGGAAACCTTTCTAAGGCTGTCTTTAACTCTTTTTTATCTCGACTACTGTTAGCTGCGGCTATGTACTGGAAAATTCTAAATGCTACTAAAATGCTAATGAAAATAATCAAATTGACAGCGTTAAAAGGTTGGAGCAAGACGGGGTAAAGACGTACCTTACGGCTGCATGTGTAATTTGGTTGCAGTATAGGCCAACAAAGAAAAAAACAGTTGAAATTTAATATTTAATGAAACCCAAAAGAGCCATTTAGCTAACCCACGTGAGCAAACCGGCATTTACACTACGTGATGTCTGTGTTTCATCCCTGAACTGTAAATACAGACGGCTGAATCGCTGCGAAATAGAGTGGGAATCATCAGTACAGTTTGAGTTTCAAAACGCTTAATGATACATTAACATACTAAATCACAATGGCGCTTCGCTTTCTGTCAGCGTTTTAGGCTCTGTCTGCAAATCAAGAGACTCTTCGAAACCTATTACTTTACTTAGCATCCCAGAAAATCTGACTAATGCCATAATTGATAAATTTTACTGTGGAAAGAAAGGCTTAAAACTAACAAAATTTAATCCGTCCTCCGATTGCCTGCAATAATTTACACATTTAACGGATTTCAGCTTTGAACAGCAACAAGCGCTCTCCTTGAATCCACCTTGTCGTTGGTACTAAAATGAAAGAAACATTACGATATTAAAAATTTACAAGTAATTCTAAGAACTTGCTGGTGAGCAATAAAGGTTAATGTGTTGTAGTTAGAAGCCATCACCACAATTATTTTGTCATAAGACAATGAAAACTTATTAAACACTTGTCTAAAACAGTTCATAATTGCTCATATTTCAACAATGAGTTGGGAGCAGTGATTGGAAGCAGCAATGGTTAAGAAGTGCCAAGGCATGTGGTGCCGAAACTTTGGTAGCTCCAGGGACGTAAAGAAAACATTTTGCCACATTTTTTCCGATTAATTTTGGGAGCTACAGGCGAACGTTACCTTACCTCATGATACGCACCAAGAACAGCAGGTTGCTACAGAGTGTAAAGCTCATGAACCATTTTCTCCAGAAAGTTGCTAGAACAAATTTCTATTGAACAACTCCTGCTAACTCAATTCGCCTACAGTCAAGTCTTTGTCAAATGAACAGTATGCCGGATGTCATTGCAAACAAAACAGAAAACAAAATCCGATGGGCAGGGCATGTTGTTTATCTTGCCGAAAAGGGGTGTATGTCGCACACCAATCGGCGATATTCACGAGGAAGTAAACGATTACTTGGACGCTCCCGAAGAAGTGGCGCACACAATGGAACAGACAATGGGTATTAAGTGGAGTCCAGAACAAGAACCTGGCATAGTTGCACCCGACTGGCGGGAATATTCCAGCAATTAACACAGAATACTGGCCCTAATAACCGGGGAAGTCTTCTCATCCTTGGTACGTAATTGTACAAAAAAGTTAGAATTTATCTGCCATGCTAACCAAATTTCGAATTTTGTCACCTGCGATTCTTCCTTATAATTTGGATTTATCGTTTGTTCATTCCACGGATTCCAAAGATTATCACGAAACGAAGTGACAACTGTTCGACA